TTCAACCCTTTCGCCCGGTCCACTCCGCGTTCCGTGGCCGCCTGCAGCGCCTCCTGCGGCATGCTCCCATACACCACCGAGAGGTTGCACCCGGCTTTTTCCCACACCTTCCCATCCTTCAACACCATGGAAATGCCCCCGCCCCCGTCCGCCCGGACCCAGGCATCAGAATGAAATTTGGCGCCCCCATCGCAGTCCTCCACGGCCTTGCAGATCGCGATCTGTAGACGTGCGGGGAATGTGATGAGGATGGAAGGCCAGGTGAGGAGAAAGAAGCATGTGCATGACCCTCGTATTCTAAACCTGTCTTCCCCGATCAAAACTCAAAGCTTCATCGATCCGTCTTCCCATGACAGGTCACGTGTGCACCACCTTGCTCGCTCCCCCGGGAGGTCCCCCCCCATTCTCTCCCTTTACTTCTTCCCTTCCTATCTCCGTACCTGGGCCTCGCGGCACGCCTTCTCGAAGCGTCGGCGCATGCTCTCATTGCCTTCGACACCACGGACCAGGGACTCAGGGACGCTGTCCACGGCTTTGTGAGAGTCCCATCCGATCGACGGGCCCGCCTCTTTCGTGGGGGCGGACGCCGCCATGGCTACCCGTCTTCGATAACAAGGAGCACTACGTGCCATGGCTACGGCGTCTAGGCGGCGACTACCACCAACGTTGGCTATTGGTTGATGGATGTATCCGCTTGTGGAGACACGAGGACGCGCGGCGGAAGTGAATGCGTCGGTGGAGCCTGAGGAGAGAAGGAGTAGCAGAGACGCTACCGCAGCCGCTAAGGCAGGCATGTTTGCAGCAATCCAAGGAGAAGAGGCCTCTTTAAACCTACATTATGGCGAACATAGGGGAAGGATCGGGAGTAAGATCAGCGTCTAATGGCATGTACTAGGACAGCGAGTAAAATACACATGGAACATGAGCACCTCTCGTCGTAGCACTTGAAGCGGAAGGATGCTGCAACATACAAGGGGGTGAAGATACTCGATCTATTGCGAAAGGCCCGATGACAAGGCAGACAACATACAATTAAATCAGCTTCGCAGGGCGAGACATGAGCTTTAAGAGTCACTAGATGAAGCCTACGGCCGCTATTTTTAATCCACCGACCATTAAAGTGTGAATCGTGTATGTCTCGACCATGTGTGCTGGAACGCCCCGGCCGGGGTCCTTTTCCATCACATCATCCCTCCCTTCCCGTCCGGGACCCAAAGTGGGGGCCTTTTCCCTCACATCATCCTTTTCATGCATTATTCCTTCGGGGGAGGACGGAGGGCTTGCCGCTTCGTAGCTTAACCCCTTTATGTGTATGAAACATGCACCTGGAAATTTGGCGAATACAATAAAACGTGCAAATTTGTGGATTGCGCATGGAACGAATATCAGTGGTAGGATACACGAAACAGCGCGCTTGGAATCCTTCTATATTCCACCACTAGCCATCACCAAAATTATGATTAGTCGAGTTCCATCGCTTTTTTTGTCTTCCGGCTTCTAACCTCGGTGAACGCCTCTTTTCAAAGTATTCGCTTCCTGGAAATCGTTGCAAAGCATGATGAAATTGTGATACCTTGAGTTTGTGGACGGAATTCTAGTTTTTCTGTAGGGAAGATTTCCACACGGAAGATGATTATCATGTCTATCGGGCATTCCCTGAAACACTCGCATCGCATTCATTCTACTGTGCCTGCAAACGCACATTCGAAGACAGTCACAGGCAGTGGCCGTAGAGTATACGTCGCGCAGCATGGAGGAAGCCAAGATGAGCACTGGGATGGAGCCGGGGCACGAGAACATTGACGAAGGCTTGTACTCCCGTCAGCTTTATGTGATGGGACACGAGGCGCAGAAGCGGATGCAGGCCTCGGACGTGCTCATCGTCGGTGAGTGGCTGCATGCTTCCGAGGAGCGACAACGCCCGTCCTCCATCACAATCTTCCCCTATTTGCCTGTCGTATACCTGTCCCCGCCGGCTTTGGGACCGAATTGTTCAGCCCGCTGCTTTCCACGCCAAGTCCCACCTCGCACTTCCTGCCCATCTCATTGTGCATCGTCCATTGCTTTCTTCCCGTTCCCGACAGGGGTGGCCGGTCTGGGCATCGAAGTCGCCAAGAACGTGATCTTGGCCGGCGTCAAGTCCGTCACGCTCTTCGACCCCGCCCCCGTCGCATACCCGGATCTTGCTGCCCAATTCTACCTCTCAGAGGCCGACTTAGGCAAGCCGCGGGACCAAGCCTCCGCGCCCCGACTCGCGGAGCTGAATCCTTACGTGCCCGTGCATGTGCTGGAGCCGGAGGCCGGCGAGGCCCTGACGGCAGAGGCGGTGAAGCGGTACCAGGTCCTCTGCGTGACCAACCGACCTTTGGCAGAGCAGCTCCGCTTGAACGCCATCACCCACCCCTTGGTACGATCCTGCTTGCATGTATCTGGCTCTTTGTGTGGGGGGGAACGCTGGCCCTGTGTGTCTGGATTCTTCTTTTTGCCCGAGGCCTCTGGGGTCCCTCGGACAGGCGACGCGACTCGGTACTCGACGCCGCTCCCTCCCTCCCTCCATCCATCCCTCCCTCTCTCCCTTCCCCTCTCCATCTTTCAGAACATCGCCTTCATCGCCAGCGAGGTCCGGGGACTGTGTGGGAGCGTGTTTTGTGACTTCGGCGAGGCCTTTTTGGTCTCGGACCCGTCGGACGAACCCGCCATCAACGCCATGATT